AACCTTCTTGGGATCCACTTCAACTCCCCTTCCCGAAATCATGTGATCCAAGAACAAGACCTCCTCCAACCAAAAATCACACTTCGAGAACTTGGCGTAGCTTCTCCTCTTTCAATTTCTGCAAAACCACCCTAAGGTGTTCTTCGTGCTCCTCCTTACTTCTCGAGTAGATGAGTATGTCATCTATGAAGACGATGACAAACTTTTCCAAGTACTCATGAAGAACCCGTTTCATTAGTCCCATGAAAGCTGCCGGTGCATTGGTCAGTCCGAACGGCATGACCAAAAATTCGTAGTGACCATACCTAGTGCGGAAAGCTGTCTTGGGTACTGAACCATCTGCCACTCTCAACTGATGATACACTGACCATATATCGATCTTCGAGAACACCCTTGCTCCTTGTAGTTGGTTGAAGAGATCATCTATCCTTGGCAAAGGATAGCGGTTCTTGGTGGTAGCTTTGTTCAGCTTCCTATAGTTAATGCACAGTTTCATACTGCCATCCTTCTTCTTCACGAATAACAATGGTGCTCCCCATGGTGATACACTAGGGCGTATGAACCCCTTCTCCAACAGCTCCTGCAACTTCTCCTTCAACTCCGTTCACTCCACTGGTGCCATATGGTAAGGAGGGATAGATATCGGTGTCGTTCCAGGAATACTTCAATATCGAATTCCACCTCTCGCTGCGGCGGTAGCCCAGGAAGATCTTCAGGAAATACCTCGGGGTATTCCCTGACGACAGGTACATCTTCTATCTTCTTCTCTTGCACCTCCTTAACATGGGCTAAATATGCTGCACATCCTTCTTGAATTAATGAGAATGCCTTAACCGCGAAGATTAAGCACCCAGGGATAAGCTTCTTAGCCCCTTTGAACAAAGCAGTGACTTTCCCTTCCACCTCCAGGCTAACCTCCTTCTTGTAGCAGTCCACCTTTGCTCTATTCTTTGACAGCCAGTCCATACCCAAGATGACATCAAACTCGTCGAAGGGTAGTAGAATTAGGTTCGCCTCAAATTCGTGCCCCGCCACGGTAATAAGACAATCACGAATGACCGAGTCCACTATAAGGGTATCCCCCACTGGGGTCCTGACCCTTAAATTCTGCCCCAACCTCACAAATGGAACTCCTAAGGTTCTAGCAAGCTTGGTAGAAATGAAAGAGTGTGTGGAGCCGGAATCAAATAATACAAAAGCGGCCTGGTGGTAAAGCGAGATCATACCAGTCACCACCTCAGGTGCAGCGTCAGCTTCTTCTCTCCTCATGGCAAACAGTCTTGGTTTCCCAGATGCTTGAGATCCCTACCCTCGTATCGCTCATTGCGGTTGAACCGCCCTTCATTTCCTCCCTGCTGGTGATAAGACCGGTTTGGCTGGTTGCCAAACTGCTGTCCGGTCTGAGTTCTTCCTCCTCCGTCCCGGACTGATTGTTCGGACTAGGCTCTCCCCTGTCCTCCTCTCCCAGGCCAATCTCTAGCATAGTGGCCCGACTAGTTGCAGTGATAGCAGATTTCTTCGACTTGGAGGCGAAACATGGCCTAAAGAGATCTTGTTTAGCTTGGTCCTTTTAGCGACGGTTACACCTGACACTAGTTTTCTTATTGGATGGACTCCTTGGCCTGCAAGCAACCTCTTCTATAGATTTCATCGTGATATATGCAAATTAATTTGCTTGGGTGACAGTTGGACCCGTTGCTGGGCCTCCACGAGTTCTTACTTCTTCTTCGGCCAAGTCTTCATCCATTGGGCTCTTCTTGGGCTCTACTCGTGGTTAATAGTAGGTTTTTGCGTCATTGAACCCGTCTTTAACATGAAAACTCAATATTCTTCTCTTTATAGCTTTTTTGGTTCTCTGGAGTTATCCAATGCTTGATCCAAATCCTCCTAGGTTGTTTTGTACCTTGAAAATCATTAAAAAAAATACCAATAAGACATCAGATCATAAGTGAACTTAAAAGGTCAACAACAACACAAGAGAATCCTAACCACATATGCAAGGACATCATGCAATTCACCATAAGCATTAACCACCAACTAGAAGAGTCTCAAAACGACAAAGTGAAGCTTTTCTATAAAAATTTCAGCTTTGAATGGTTTCTATCATCGACTTGACATTCCTTTACACACTTTTCCTTATTCAAACACATACTCTATTTTTTTAAGATTTTCCTCGTCATTTTCTAGACTTTTCTTGCATGGGGAGCTCTATATTTATTTAGAGCCTTAGACCTTTAGTACTCGTGTACAGGGTTTGGTTGCCCACGAGTGATAGAAAGTTGCATTACTGCAAATCAATATTGTATTGTAGGCCTCCTATTGTCCATTATTTTCCTATTGTAAGTAGCAGATAATTGTATCATCTGGTCGATTGTTTGCCGGAAGCGGTAGACCATTCGCCAGAAGTGGTAGGCATTTGCCAAAACCGATAGACCGTTTTCCGAAATTAGTAGACCACTCTACCGCTTGCAACAAGCGGGTTTCAGTTGAAAGTAAGTGTCATTAGGTCGACCTCTTGCTGAAAGTGGTATACCACATGGCGGAAGCGTAGACCTCTTGGTAGAAGTAGTAGACCGTTTTCTTGGAAAGTGGTAGACCATTTTCTTGGAAAGTAGTTGACCGCTTACTAGAAGAGATAGACCGTTTTCTTGGAAAGTGGTCGACCGCCTATTAATTATTATCTTTTTATATGATTGTTGACCATAAAGTTTGTACCCATTAAACGAAGAATTTTATGCTTACATATTAGCAATACGCAAATCCATTGAAGGTTCTAATTACTATTTTAATACATAATTTTCTTAGTTCAGTTTGGATTCAATAGAGAAAAATGTTATTAATACTGGTATAAAGAAATAATTATAAGCAATTTATACTAACAGTAAGTAGTACAAAGTTTTATAATATGAAATATATATAAACAATAATAAGTTAAGATAATCTAATCACAAAAATATATATGAACTAAATATTACCAATACCACAATTATCAAGTAGTACAAATATTACTTTCGATTATTAAATAAATTATTGTACAAATAATTTGAAAATATGAATGAATTGGTTTTTATGAAGAAATGACAAATAACGAGGAAGGATCAAATGACTAGGGGGTGCTTGGTCACTTGACTAAGCCCCCTCCTAGCTTTTAGATCTGGACACACTAATTTAATGTTAAAAAAATGGAAAGAGCTATTTAATTAGTGATATGGGCATTTTGGATATTATGAAAAATTTTGAAGTATACAAACCGGACCTACAAATAGTACAAAGAATACAAACATAGAAACATTACAAACTAAAATGATAAAAACATACAAATAAATTTACAACACAATACAAACATACGAACTATAAAAACAATACAAACTAGATCGACAAACAATACAAACCTTACAAATTAAAAAAACAACCGGATAGATTTTGGAGGCTCCATCTCTATATAGAGGGGCTCTGTCCCAAAGTCAACCCGATTGTTTTTTAGACATACAAACATTACAAACATGATAGACAAAAATGACAAACTAGACCGACAAAACATACAAAATGAAAAAACACACATGTTGACTTTGGAGGCTCCATCTTTATAGAGAGGAGTTTCATCCAAAAGTCAACCAGGTTGTTTTTTAGACATAAAAAATATTACAAACATGGTTGACAAAAATGACAAACATGGTGGACAAAAATAACCAAACTTATAAACATTACAAAATAAACCGACAAACATTACAAAACATACTAACAGTACAAAATAACACTCCTTACAATACAAACCAGCAAAATTGTATTATAAATCAATGAATACAAAGTATACAAATCATAACATAAAGTATACAAACTAGAGTAACAAATAGTATAAATAAAATATATACAAACTAGTAATATAAATATTGCAAACACAATAGACAAAAGTAACAAACTAGAATGATAAACGATACAAACCGAAATGATATAAACAACACAAATTGGGCTTAGGAACATTGCCAAATAGGTCGACAAACATTACGAATCCAACACTGCCACTAGAAAATCCTCTTACGTCATCTCTCGCCGCATGGAAATCTCCCTCCGTAGTCGCCGGTCACCGGAATACTCTCTCTCTCTGATATCCATGACCAAAATATTGCCATGGCAAAAAATTACCACTTCGCTACCGGGAAAATTTCCATAGAAGGGTCGGCGGACGGGAAGGTAGGGGATTGATTGATTGAAGCCATTGAATTTTAATGAGTTCGAAAGACGAAAATTGACTTAATAATGTGACTAAGAAACCCTGCTGCGCGCACAAATCTCCGCCCGCTTCCTCCATCAAATGAAAATGATTTAAATCCGCCATAGGTTATGAACTTAATCACCTTATCTAGCCCGACAAATAGCATGAATTCATTCAATAATGAATCCGATAAAAACTAGTTTCTTCCAATAGGAATGTTAAATTGGAGGGAGAAGGGGAATAAACGAGGAAAACAGTAAACAGAAATGAAAAAAAAAAAAACACATTTCAATTCAGTTGCGACTTGCGAGCAAAAAGTGCGAATTTGTGAGATGACGATTATGTTGCACTGATCTCCCTGCTTGGCTGCTTCAATATGCCATTGCCAGCACTAGGCATCCCACCACCATTTCCGAAGCAGGCCTCTAAGATCTGGTCAGATCCGTGCCGTTCTGTTCCTCCCCCGTCCCTTTTTCTCTCTCTAACTCAATCCTCCGGTTTCTCTGCTTCTTCCTACGCCATTTATCCCTTAGCTGCCTCCGCCCACTCTCCTCTTTCATACACTGGTAAACATCACAGCTCCTTCCGCCCCAACAAAAGGAATTTCCATTTCTTGGTTCTTATTATTATTTCGCCATCTAGGTCTCCTCGACTGCCGTCACCGATTCTTGGATTTGACTTTACGTTTTTGCCTTTTTCTCGCAATCCCTTTTTATGGGCTATGTGGAAATGAGCAAGATTATGAACTAGGGTTTGTAAAGGCACCGCCTTTTGCCCCTTTAATTGTATGAAGATTTGGTGCTGCTTGTGCTTCACTTTTGACGACGAAGTAGGACAATATACCAAAGGATATTGTGAAGCCATGAGAGACGCCGCTCTTAAGAATGACAGCCACTCCAGAGGTGTTGGCATTGGGGCTAACGGCGAGGATCCTGGGGAAGCTGCACCAACATTCGACTATGACATGCTGGACACTCATGATCGGGACGGGACGAGGTTGTTTGAAGAGATGATTAGAGCGGCGGAGGGGGGTGAGGCGGCTGGCGAGTCGGTTAACGCGCCGCCTTCTGACGATGGTATCGCTATTCCGGTTGCCTTGAGGAGGAGCACTCTTAGGTTTGCGCAGAGGCTTCGGGGTGAGACTAGTGGTACGGCCACAACAGTCGTCGCGGAGGTTTCTGGAAATGTTGTGGAAGACTGTAACAGGGATTGGCATAGCAAGCGTGCCAAAGTTTACTCTGGTTCTCAGTGAGTTCTACCCTTGTGTCCATTTCGTTCTTCTCCCTTCTTTTTTTCTCCCAGACTTTGCCTTATTCGTCATCTAGTTCCGGGCAATCATTTTGAAGATGCCTCATTTGTTGATTCCAGTCTATAATTAAAGCTTTGATCTTGGTCTTCATGTACTGCATATAGTATTGCACATAGGCTGGACTTGCATCGTACATTGTACAAGCGTAGAAAATATGCAAAGTTTTTTTTTATATATTAATTATCATTCTACTCTCCGCAGCTAATGCAGCTATGCAATTTACTGGAAAATATGAAGAGCCAAAATTTATAGTGCTTTCCTAGTTGAATTTCTTGTTTCGTTTAGCACATTGAAGAACTAAGCCAAGATTACACCCTAGTAGTGGTGGTGATGTAGCAGTATTGTGATGTTATTGAATTACTGACAAGTTACCATTTCTGTATGATAATTGTTCGCTACAGTGATTGCCAATATGTCACAGTGATGTCTCCAGATGCTGGCCATTCTAATTCTTCAGAACCCATGGACTCCAACTTTACCCAGAGTCACGGTGTTCCATCGGGGGATGCGATAGTTTATCATAATTTCATATGGAATAGCAGCAATGATGAAACTTCCTTTGGTTCCAATGGTGGTGGAGATGGTGGAGATGAGAGTGGCCCTTCTAAGTCAGACGATCTTGAAATTAGAATGGATCTTTCAGATGATCTTTTGTATATGGTAAAGTGCTCTGATTTTGTGCTTGTCCCTTGCCTCCCGCACCTGTTTCTGGATCTAATTTATATTTTTTTTATCTTTTCCAAAGGTCTTTTCTTTCTTGGGTCATGTTGATCTTTGTCGAGCTGCAATGGTTTGTAAGCAGTGGAGAACAGCTAGCACACATGAAGATTTTTGGAGATATTTGAATCTGGAGAATCGCAATGTAACATTAGAACAATGTAAGTCTTGTTTATGCAACAGTAGCATGCAGCTTATGTTTTACATCTCTCAACTCAACTGGGCAGTATCCAGTTCCTTACAGTTTATTGTGATAGAAGAAATTTATTAGATAAACTAGTGACTGTTCACGAGTTGGAATGTGTAGTTTCATGGTTAAGCTGTGAGAATGTCAGAAGTTGCTAATGAGGTTGGATGTGATTTAACACTATATACATTTGTTTGGGTTCTTTGGTTACTGTGTCTGTTTTGGGGTGGTAGGCTCTTTGATTTCATTGAAATTTGTACTCTAGAGGACTGGGCTTCACTGAAATTGGCATACATGCATATTTTAAAGTGGTGTTAGCCTGGCCTATACTTCTTCTCTCTGCTAGTGGTAGCGACTAAAATTTGGTTGAGAAATTATTTTAGCATTTTATGATGCTAGTGATGTCTTATTAGATTGTCATCCTTTTTTTGTGGAATCTTATTGCTTGATGAAAAATTGTTACAGTTGAGGATATGTGCCATCGGTACCCAAATGCAGTGGAGGTGAATCTTCATGGTGCTCCTGCTCTCCACAATCTTGTCATGAAAGCAGTTTCATCATTAAGGTTGCTGACTCTATGTTATCTTCACATTTTTCATAGCTCAGTAATACTCATGTAATACCACTATATTATGTGCCTCCACGCGTGTTGTAGATATATAATTGCCACTATAGTGTGTGCCTCTATGTGTTTAGATATATAGTATAGTGTGTGCCTCTGTGTGTTTTAGATATATAATTTCAACTATATGGTGGCCTCTATATGTTATTTGCTTCTTGAATTGTGCCTTATGTGTTTTTGCTCTTCAGAAACCTCGAGACTTTGACTTTGGGAAGAGGACAGCTGGGAGATCCATTTTTTCATGCTCTGGCAGAATGCAACTTGTTGAGGAGTTTGAATGTGAATGATGCTACCCTGGGCAATGGTATGCAGGAGATACCTATAAACCATGACAGATTGCAACATCTTCAGCTTATCAAGTGTCGTGTCCTGAGGATATCCATCAGGTGAAATATGCTCACATTTTCAAACAAAACCTACCATTACTTGTTATTTGCCTATCTTATTCTTATATACATATCTTTCAGGTGTCCAGAGCTTCAAACATTGTCTCTGAAGCGCAGCAACATGGGCCAAGCTGTACTGAGTTGTCCCCTTCTGCATGCCCTTGATATTGGATCATGTCACAAGCTTTCAGATGCGGCAATTCGCTCAGCTGCAATTTCATGCCCACAACTGGAGTCCTTAGACATGTCAAATTGTTCTTGTGTCAGTGATGAGACATTACGTGAGATAGCCCAAACTTGTGCTAATCTCCATATTCTTGATGCTTCTTACTGTCCGAACGTATCTCTAGAGGTCAGCTCTAACATCTAACTTTTTCGTGATAACCAGTCAACTGGTATCTTAGATAGATAATCTTACACATTCTTTGTTTTTCTCTGTAGTCTGTAAGGCTCCCACTGCTGACTGAACTCAAGCTTCATAGTTGTGAGGGTATCACTTCGGCTTCAATGGCTGCAATTTCTTATAGTTACATGCTGGAGGTCTTTCTTCTTTTTCTTCTTCATGTTATTCACTCATCAGTATGAAAACTTAGTTGATTACTTGATAAAGGATTGATAACATAGTCTTATTCAGGTCTTGGAGCTTAACAATTGCAACTTACTGACTACTGTTTCATTGGATCTTCCTCGTTTGCAGAGGATAAGCTTAGTACATTGTCGCAAGTAATTCTGCTTCTGCACCAGTTTGGCAATTTGCATTTCCATAATCTGGTCCTTGCTTTCAGTTTGAACTGCTTATAGTCATGTGCTGTCCTGCTACCTCTGTAGATTTGTTGATCTGAATCTAAGAAGTGTGACTCTATCTTCTATTATGGTGTCTAATTGCCCATCACTCCATCGTATCAGCATAACTTCCAATTCACTGAAAGTATGTGCTATTGCGAAGCAGTTAATCATTTGCTGAAATATCTTTTGTCCTATCTCAAGTAACTTAATAACATACTTTCTTGGCATGCAGAAATTAGCGTTGCTGAGGCAGGAAAACCTTACTACTTTGGCTTTACAATGTCAATGTCTCCAAGAGGTTGACCTCACTGATTGTGAATCATTAACCAATTCTATTTGTGAGGTATTTAGTGATGGTGGGGGGTGTCCAATGTTGAGATCATTGATTCTGGATAATTGCGAGGTACATGAAGTTCTCTTTCGTCCTCTTTCTCTGTTCCTTTTCATTTCGCAGCTAGATTTTGAGACAAGTTTCTGCTCAATCGTAGAGGTCTGTCACTAGTGGTAATGCTGTCATTTTTATCTGTACGGAGACTTACAACTCTCACTAATCTGGTTTCGACTCGATATGTTGACATTCTTTAATTGTAATTGTCCTATATATTTACCGGCTCATCAAAGTTTGACATGGTTGCCTTTGAGAGAAATTGGGAGTCTTCTAAAATAGATAGGCATGAAAAGTTTGCTTCTTAAGAACGATGACAATTCAGTAGTATAAGGCAATAGAGTTGTAGACTCCTGTTATAGATACATGCAGGTCTCTCTAGGAACTTTAGTCTCTCGCTTGGTAAGCCTGCTTATTTCAACCAAGTGTGCTTGTATCTGCATGAAAAACATGTTCTAGGACAGTCTAGACACTTCTTCACGACTCTCGTGTCAAAGCTGTGCCTAGAGGCGGATAAGGGTTGAGGAAGCATCGAGGAGAGCTTTTATCATATATGAGGTGCTCAGGAACTGAACCATATTATTAAGATAATAGCTTTACATGATCCTTGTGATGATGCTTTAGTGTTGGATGTCTCTGCCCACCTTCGATATTTGGAGGGGCACAGGTTAATGATATGTGTTAAGTTCCAAGAATCGATCAAACTTGGTCCTTGTGCTTCCCTGACATCAAATAAACATTGAGATATTCCAGAAATTCTTTTACTGCTCTAACATGACACCATTTCCTCTCCACTTATCTCTCTAATGATAATTTTTTAAGTGAGTTTTTTAATGTTTGCAGAGCTTGACGACAGTAAGATTCTGCAGCACATCTTTGCTCAGTCTTTCTCTAGTTGGTTGCCGCGCTATCACTTCTCTTGATCTGATATGCCCCTGTCTTGAGAAAGTATGTTTAGATGGTTGTGATCATCTGGAGAGAGCATCCTTTTGTCCTGTAAGTGAGAATCATGCTGCACATCATGTGATTGAACCTTTTGACTCTCTGTTTGTTGCTATTATTTTCCTTCTCATTCATCCAACAAAGACAACTTTTCCCTCTCCAGGTTGCTCTTAGGTCTCTGAACTTGGGAATATGTCCCAAGTTAAGCACCCTGAGAATCGAAGCCCCCTCCATGGTGTCCTTGGAGTTGAAAGGCTGTGGTGTACTATGTGAGGCATCCATCAATTGCCCTCTTTTGACTTCCCTTGATGCTTCATTCTGCAGGTAATATGGCTTTTAATTGGTTTTGGAGTTACCTATTTCATAGGTCCATAAGGTTGACCATACCATTCTTTTTATTTTTATTTTTAAAATATATGCAGCCAACTTAAGGATGACTGCTTGTCTGCAACTGCTGCATCCTGCCCGTTGATTGACTCATTAATCCTCATGTCTTGCCCCTCTGTTGGCTCTGATGGGCTTTACTCCTTGCGCTGCCTTCCCAATTTGACTGTGCTGGACCTGTCCTACACCTTTTTGATGAATCTGTTGCCTGTTTTTCAGTCTTGTTTGCAGTTAAAGGTAACCAATCCTACTAGGAATTCCTTGCATAACCAGTGCACATTTTTTCTATCTGCCTAATTCTGTTGATGTTTGCTGATAGAACATGCCTGTGGTCTATACTGATAAGCCACCTTATCTGCAACTAGGAGACTCAAATGGATCTTTGTTGTCATCAATGATATTTTGGCATTCACTTTCCCTTACCCTTAATTCATTATATCATTGCTACCCTTTTTGAGGTGGTTAATGCTCTACTCTGGTAATTTATTAGTGACAGGTCTAGGAGTTGAATGCCAAATCTCTGTAGAATCTACTGGCATATTCCTTAATCTGATTATGTCTTCCTGTTTTTGGAAGGTTCTCAATCTTTAAGCTGTTGGTCAATTTTGGTTGATCAGTTGTTATGCTGCCATTTCTGGCTTCTAAATATTCCCGCATAGCTGCATGACTTATCAACCCTTTATCGACTTATCTTATTGTCTGTAGGTACTTAAATTACAAGCTTGCAAATATCTGACTGACGATTCCTTGGAACCACTCTACAAGGAAGGTGCTCTACCTATGCTCCAAGAGCTGGATTTGTCATATGGGACCCTTTGTCAGTCTGCAATAGAGGATCTTCTTGCCTGCTGTACTCACCTTACACATTTAAGCTTGAATGGATGTGTGAATATGCATGACCTAAATTGGGGTTGTAGCAGTGGTCAAGTGACAGAGTTGCCAACTGTTAATAGCCCACGTGCTTCTTTTTCACTTGAGGATAACTATGCAGCAATCGAGCAGCCGAACCGGTTGTTGCAGAACCTCAATTGTGTTGGTTGTCGTAATATTAGAAAAGCCCTTATCCCACCAATGGCGCGTTGCTCTCATTTGTCGTCGTTTAACCTTTCTTTGTCTACCAATTTGAAGGAAGTTGATATTGCGTGTTTGAACTTGGGTGTTCTGAATTTAAGGTATGTGTTCTTTTGATGGTTTACATCTACACCTAATTCTTGTTGTGTATAGTGCTCACTGTTGGTGTTTAATGTTATACATTATTCAGCAATTGTTACGCTTTGGTGATACTGAAACTCCAGTGTCCCCGATTGACGAGTTTATTTCTTCAGGTATGTTTCTATCTGAATATCACTTTGCTTAATTAACTCTCTGTCAGTCTGCTTGTTGCTTTCGAAGTCCTTGCTTCGTGTCTGAGCTCATCCTTAAAAGTATAAAACGACCAAGAGTTAATGGTTTTGGTGGTATTTTTACTCGAGGTAGTTCTTCTTCCTTTGTGTTTTTGTGTCAAATGAATGAGTGAAAGTGGGGTCATCCAGTGGTATCCTGTCACTGGTTATTCAGTGGATTCTGCATATGTTGAATTCTTAATTCAAGGTTGTTCAATGTTGGAGACTAGACGAAGATAACTTTGTTTTGCTTTAAAAATTGATTATCTTGAGTAACCCTTTCTTCAACCAACTATGGACTTGAAACTTGGAGTTAACATCATAAATGAAAGCTCCACCCCTCCCCAGGGAATTTTGCTGACCCTTCGGGGGCTAACATCACTTAAAGGAAAAAAAAAAATATGTAGAAATATGACCCATGAAGGATCTTTTTCTTTCATTTGTTTCATATTGTGTTATACTATGAAAGCATGATTCAGCATCTGGGCTTGTGTTCAGTTCACGAAAGTAACTTTTGCTGATTCTTCCTTATTTTCAATTTCATTCAAGTCCTGCAACATCAACGAAGAAGCTGTTGAAGCTGCTATTTTTCAGTGTAATATGCTTGAGACTCTTGATGTACGCTTTTGCCCAAAGGTGAGGAGATCATGATGAATGAATTTACTGTCTTCTCGTGTTGCCCACTGAATGCTCATTGTGGGGTATTATTTGTGTTGGCATTCCAGATAATCTCAATAAGCATGGTCCGGTTGCGAGGAGCGTGCCCAAGTCTAAAGCGGGTATTCAGCAGCCTACTGTCAACTTCTTGATGTGAGCGAATAAATGATTGTCCTCTATAAATTGTTGCAGCAGCACATTGCTACTGGTGTGCGGGTGTCTGCACGCACAACTTGTATAACAATTTCTCTATGGATTTCATCTGGTTGTACATATGTGTTCTCCTCTGCAATGCTGGTGGTATTGTACTTACCCTACTTGTATTTGTAGTCCTAGGTCTTGGCCCCTGTAATAGTAATACAAATAAAGTGTGCCTTGTGTCTTAATCATGGGTTCCTCGTTTCCATGTCTTATTTTTCTTATCACCGACGACTGCTGTCGAAAAGGGGGGCTTCTTTGTTGGTTCTCCTCTTACATGAAGGATTTGACATTTTCTATTTATTTCATCGAGTTTCTCTTCATTTTCATTTTATAACTCTTGGATGGCGGAACATGGCCAAACAGTCTGGAAATACAAGCAGTAAAGGCAATTAACATGTGGGAATTAGAGTACTGTCCACTAGTAATTAACACACAAGGGATTTGAGGATTGAGAGTAAGAATTAAGAATTTGAGAACGAGAATTGAGGATTGAAGAATAGATAGAACAAGTTGAAACCTTTAGGGAGGACGAGATTAAGGGAGAAAGAGGTTAGAGTTTGAGAGATATTTTCTGAATAATTGTTCTTGGTTGATTGATAATAAATGTCCAAGTACACTAATATAGGAAAATACTGAAAAAAACCATACGAATAATCTTGTTACTCATAATACGACTAAACTACTACTAACATCAACAATAATAAATAATTATAATAATATTGTCATCAGAAGGCACGAGTCCTTAAAAGATTGGGATTCTAATAATCCACGTTCATCGAGACCAACCTTGCCCTCAAGGTTGCAGACTATTTCATCTCTCTTGAACCTCCATGACTCGATCGCCAAGCCCTAAATTTGGTTCGATCATTGTTTACGCTTCTTCTTCCTGTTGTGTTGAAGCGACAACCTCAATTCCTTGTTACAACTAGCACATAGTCCCAACAAGTGCTCCCATCGTCTGGTCTCCAGAAAATGAGTACTGCCCATGTTACCCACCCACAATAGCTCTTCAATCTCTCCCCTGCAACCCTTCACATTTCAAGGACAATTCCTCAAACTCTTTCACCATCTTCTCAAAACCTAAGCAATAGTGCGCATCCTTACATTGGACGGCCCTGCTTGGAAGGGAATGAACATCCTTTATGCATCCTAGAATCATCATACAATAAATTGAAAACAACCCACTAGCTATTGTTTGATGCGGCCCGCATTACGTCAATGACATCTAGAACCGAACTCCATGATGAACCCCTAGATGAGGTTTATTGATCAGAATAGCACAACTAAGAAATCCAAGAGTTCCCTCGAGCAAGAACTCCACAAACAGGGTATGATTTGAATGTGTGTTGGTGGAAGTTTCGTGCAATTCTCACGAAGGGACAAAGGCTCGTAAACTATTGGTAGAAACTCAGCCACGAACAATGTGATTAGTTGAACGATACAAGCACTCAAGCTGCTTAGAACTCCTTCTAAACAACTCTCAAACTCACGAAAACAACAAGCTTTGTGAACCAAACTCAAGTTTGTATTCAATTCTATGAAATCTGAAAATTACAATGAATCAAAGCTACTTAAATAGACCTAGCCAATCCTACTACTCTTAGAGAAGTCCTAAACAAATTACAATTGGAAAAGGAAACCAAAACCAACAATGAAAAGGAATTAAACACAAAACAGCAAAGGAATCCTAATCCGATAAGGATTCGAAATGCCTTATTTCAAAACAAGACTTCCTTTGCCCATTTCCATTGATCCAATGGGAAGAAACTTGAGTGCCAAGTAAGCTACCTGAAACGGATAAAAACACTTGGACAAAATTTGGAATTCATTTCATAGCTTGAGATGGATTTTGATTCAATCCATTCTGGCTTGTAGACTGAGCCAAATGGGATCATATCTGGCCCCCGCTCATAAATAAGCTTTGCCCTCAAAGCTTTGGCCCTCTTTATCTCGAAATCCTCAAGAAATTCTTCCCAAATCGGTCGTAGTAAGGCTGCTTATGTTTCATGTTCTGAAAAACCCAGGCAGTGTTCGTTGAAGAGGAAATTATGGCTTTTTGATTCAGACATCCACTAGGCAATCCAAGGTCACCAATGGCTTCGTTTTGGATCGAATTGAAGTCCTAGGTGGTCCTCGTACCTCGATTCATCGTCTGTATCAGTGAATCGTTGTCATTTTCTTTCCTGCCATGGCCGCAGTTCAAATTCTCCAAACCCAGGAACTTCAATCGTAATTTGGGCGTTTTTGATGTAGAGCCCTCAAGGTCGTATTGAATAAGCTGAGAGTTTCCTGGGTTGCCTTGAATGATTTTGCAGTCACCAATCGATTCGAATCATCACCAATCGATTCAACCCATAGACTCGATTTTTGCTCGAAGTTGGTAAATTTCAGAGCAGATTCTACTCTAATTGGATTCGGGGGTCTAGCTTGATTCGGTCCAATCCATTCGATGGTAGAGCTTACCTGAACTCCATGGAACGTGCTGACGTCATCCCCTAGTGTTGAATCTTCCTGAGGAGCCCCCCCAATTCTCCCTCTCTCCTGCTCTGTTCCGGTGAAGGCTTGCCGGGGCGACGTCGTCGCGGTGCTCTTAGTCGTTTATACCCAGTAAGCATAAAACGCTGAGTGAAGAGAGTGGATGAACTGGATCCCTCGTCTTGCTTCCCCTTGGTTCGTCGACGGCTAGCCTCAAGTTGTCGTCGATCTGCTCGAACCTCCTCCGGTGACAGTGGCTTTAAAAGAATAGTCTTCCCAGTGTGACGAACTTTGTAGCAATTCGTGTCTCCATAGTGGCAAACACCATGATCGAACTGCCATGGCCTTCCGAGAAGTAAGTGAGTAGCTTGCATTGGCGCGACATCAAATTCAAGCTCGTCCTTGTACGCTCCGATCTCAAAGCTTATCCTAGCTTGCTTTGTTACACGAACGACGCCATAGTCGCTAAGCCAGTGCAAGCTGTATGGGTCGGGGTGTCTCGTCGTGTGTAACCCTAGCTTGTCTACTGCCTCTTGACTAACGACGTTGGCACAACTACCTCCGTCCATGATCACGGACAAAACCTTGTCGGCAACCAAACAGCGAGAATGAAAAAAAATTCTCTTTGACTGGTATCGGACTGAACATCCATGGTTAGAACTCGTCGACTAACGATCATGAGCTTTCCTGGGGCAGGTTTTGCTTCAAGCTTTTCGTCGACGTCACTGTCATCTGAATTTTGTTCTTCGTTGGTGAGATATTGGCCGTCCCTGATGATTAACGTCTTCAGATTGGGACATTGATTTGCTTTGTGCCCTCTACCATGGCATTTATAGCATTGGATGCCTCCAAAGCGCTCAGTAAGTACTGGATTTGTGTTTCTGAGCACCAATTTTCCAGGTTCATGTCGTGTCTGCTGGGGATTAGAGTCGGAACTTGACTCTGCGTTTGCCTTGTTTGCCGATGTGAACTTCCTCGACGATCTCTGCTGCTTTTCAACCTTAATTGCGAGGCGAAGGTCTTCTTCCAGGTCGACAAAAGATCAAAGATCTACTTCCTGTCGAATCTCACGGTTCAAACCATGAAGAAATAGCGCCACCGTCGCTTCTCGATCTTCCCTGACATCGGCCCGCAACATCAGCAATCCAAGTTCTCGGAAGCACTCCTCCACACTCTTTGACCCTTGTTTAATCCCCTGCAGAGATTCATAGAGTTCGCGCTGGTATTAGGCAGGTACGAAACTATCTCGCATAATTCCACGTAGCTTGTCCCAGGTCTCGACCGGATTCTGATTATTTCGTCGCCGACGGAGCTGCAGCTGCTCCCACCACTGGGCGACGTAATATGAAAATTAATAAGTAGCCATAGCTACTTTATGGCCTTCAGTAAACTGTCCACATTGGAGGAAAAGCACAATCTTCCTTTCCCAGTCAAGATATGTCGAGGGATTCATTGTCCCCTGAAATGTTGGTAATGATAGATTGATGCCCGGAGGGATTGCCGGTTCTGCTTCTTGTTGTCGTTCGCGACGATCACGGTGTGGACGTTCTCGATTGGGATTAGCAATGACGAGTCGCCGTTCAAGCTCCGCGATTCTATCCAACAATGCTGGATTGCTAGCTGGGTTTTCTCCGCCGGAAGCTTCCTCTGTTTGAACCCGATTCTCAGGATGAGCAATAGTCTCAAATTGCCGGTCAATTTCTTGTTTAAATTGCCCTAATTGATCTCGAATTTGAGCCTGAACCATCTCCTCCATACGATCCAACAATTCCTTCATGTCAAACGTCTGTCTCGCCATCTCTATTCACTTCTTCTTCTTCGTTGATTCTGGAAACACAAAAGCAGGGTCTTCCGACACAGGTCCTTTTGACCTTGTCCAGGGCGTCGTTGTGACCACACCTTCCTTCGTTCTGTCCACTGTGTAGAACAAGGCTCTTGATGCACCCCTAGATGAGGTTTATTGATCAGAATAGCACAACTAAGGAATCCAAGAGTTCCCTTGAGCAAGAACTCCACAAACAGGGTATGATTTGAATGTGTGTTGGTGGAAGTTTCATGCAATTCTCACGAAGGGAGAAAGGCTCGTAAACTATAGGTAGAAGCTCGGCCACGAATAGTGTGATTAGCTGAATGGTACAAGCACTCAAGCTGCTTAGAACTCCTTCGAAACAACTCTCAAACTCACGAAAGCAACAAGCTTTGTGAACCAAACTCAAGTTTGTATTCAATTCTATGAAATCTTAAAATTACAATGAATCAACGCTACTTAAATAGACCTAGCCAATCCTACTACTCTTAGAGAAGTCCTAAACAAATTACAATTGGAAGAGGAAACCAAAACCAACAATGAAAAGGAATTAAACACAAAACAACAAAGGAATCCTAATCCGATAAGGATTCGGATTGCCTTATTTCTAAAGATAGAAACTCAGCTTCGATACGATATTTGGAGCATTCATTCGAGGACTTCCATTCT